AAGTTAATTACGCAGTAGCTTGAGCATGTGATTCATAGTTGGTTACTATCAATACGCCAACCAAATCTCAGGCCCGCAAGTTGCTGTTTTCTCGAATGCGTACTATTGATAATGGTCACGTGGAGAAACTGGAAGTATAATATTTTAAAGAAGTTTCTCCCACATTGCATATGGTTTTTGAACTGGAAACCCGGCGGTTTTCGAAAAGTAACCAGACCTGTGGTAGTCAGAATGCATCCCTGTGGGAAAGGCTTCGAGATTCACTGTCTGATGGTGATTCCACTTGTGTCATGGAAATTTGGCACGAAGTCAACTTTTGACGGACAAAGCAACGATCACACCAGTAGTGAAAGCAAAACACGAGCTAAACAGAGAACGTATATTCAGTAGGAATCAAATTTCATAGAGATCGCGAATGGGGTCTTACAATCTAACAGTCTTTATCGCCCTCATTAACGTTAAGTGCTTGCAACTGATGTACCTCCCATTTGAGGAGGTTTCCCGCTGAATGTCTTCCTGCAACGACAGAAAATGAAGAGTCAGTGCTTATTCACAGATTTTGGTTTCTTTAAACATATGCACGGCAACGCACATGCTGAATTTCCGTGACAGAGCATGCATAAGTGCCAGGAGTTGTGAACGTTAGTGAGTGGCTGCATGTTCACGGAAGTCACCTTCAGCTTATGGAGATCATGTTTCCGCACTGTCCGGTCAAAAAAGCACGAGCTGGACAGGAATGCTAGTTGGTCGACTAAGTATAAGCTTGGTTAACTAGTCACAGTAGTCAAAGGTTTTGTTGAAATATAATAAGGATAACAAAAGAACAGATATAAAGTGTAGTGAACTCACTGAAACTAAGTGGGACTTATCTGCTTGTTTACCAGATTAGATGAAGTTAGCCTACAGGCTCACCAGTTTAGGAGGTGAAGTGATGTTGACGTTCACGCAAATGACGATGTATACGGACACAAGCTCGTCTCTTCCAACTTGCATGGTACTTATTCTGCTTTGGCCAAAGACAATTCAAAACACCGAATCGATCATCCAAGATGCTAGATATACCTTGTGGTCAGAATCGCAGTGCAGTGATGATTGCTTGAGTAACTAAGGATCGTGCATGGACAGCCGAACGGAACACGACAGCGTGCCAGATTGCGTAGATACTTGACCACTAGCTTTCAGCTTAACAAGTTGGCTTAAATGGTGTAGGTCAGCATCGAATTTTGAGTGGAGCGTACTGTAGTCTAATAATTTTGTGGAAGTATTTATCGCTACACTGTACACATTTTGCCATAAATAATTATGCAAGGGTTATTTACATCCCTATATCCATAAACGATTATTTTATGGTTATGTTTACACTGAAGAGACTATATTTTCGGAAGGACATATGGAAGTAGTTAGCCTTCGTGCGAACTTAAATCGAGGGAAATCTTATTTCCTCTTACCCACCAATATTTGACGTTTGGCATTTTTGCTGGAGAACGCCAGTAGGCAGCGAAACATAGGGCTCTATAATGTAACTCACAGACATTTGTAATAATCGCTGCTATTGGTTTTAATAAAAATTAGTACCTTGGAAAGGGAGCGAATTTGGCGCGCTCTTGTTTAATTCCGGCCTTTGTTGTGTTATTCTCTCCAGAACATATAGATTAACTTTAACTGGTCGAATTTAGTTTGCTTTATAAAATTTGAGTCTATTTACTAATAGGAAGTGTATTTTTATAACTTTAAGGTTATTATCTGTCCGAATGTTTTTAAATGCATTGGTTTTTACCGCTGGTCACATGATAATTGTTCCTAAGATCATATTTGAATCCCGTACTCACAGTTCATTTTGAAACTATGCTCGTAAAAAGCAACCGTTGCGGAAGAATCATGTGTCTATTCCCAGACGACGAAGGTATGCGGTATGACAGCTGCAAGCGTTGGTTCCACAGCATGTGCACCACCCTAACCCCTGCAGCATATAAACGCTGCTGCAAACCTCTGGCACACTGGCTGTGCAGTGCCTGCTGCAGTAAGACCGAGTTCCATATTAAAAAGGCCATTGGAATCCTCAGTGGAGCGTTAAAGCTTCTGAACTGCGAAGGTCCTCCACCACAGGAGAGGGGCAACTACTGCTCAGACACCTACGATTCTAGTGTCGTTGACAAGACTGTATGAATTCTCGTTACGTCACTGTTAGAAAGTTAGAGCCCCTCAGCATAGGAGAACATCAACCATAGCTTGGACTCCCACGCTGTTCCTACTATACCTGACAAGCCCTTCAGTACCAGTAATGAAAAATTTCAACACCAATCCGCCTATTGCTAGCACTAGAAAAAGGCTCAGCAGGGATCGAAAACCCGCAGTTAAAGTCATCCTCGAACTTGTAGATGAAGCCTCATCCATGCAAGTGGATAGTAGGCAGACACAACCAACGGCAGATGGAGAATAAGACGCCAGTGAGTGGCGTAATATATTCTCTTTCAAAGATCCAGACAAAGCCACCACTGAAGCCACACTATTAACGAAGAACGGAAAGATACTTTCACCACGGAGCAAGAAAGCCACTCCAAGCAAACCTGATCACTCCGACAAGTTGGCCATCTTCCACAAAGTGAAGTAATCATTGGCCTCGGATTCAAAGATCAGTTTCGAGCATGAACCTTAGTCAGGCCTGTCTCAGATAAGTTACTACCACCTACAGTGTCAGGTGTAACTATCAATTCATTGTGCGGAATCGGCCAAAAGGCTAACTCTACAATTAGCCGGTAGGCCTTCTCGATGTATGACTGGGCTGAAAAACAGAGAGGAATGATATAATAAGCAACTCCTAATCTCTTAAAGGGTCAAGCATATACGTCTGTGCTGACTCATGCCTAGCAGACCGCATCGAAAGACAGTCTGAGGCTCTAGAATCAGGCGAAAAGCACCGAAACGTCAAGGAAAACCTTGAGATTAGGTGTTTCGAATCGTCAAAGTTTGGAGCTCCGTGTTCCTGAAATGTCTGTGGGTGGAGAGTGAAAGCATCAACCTTAGTTAAAAGCTTGCTACACAAATGCCCACAGTCTCTTGTACAGATGGACCGAGCTGGCTAACATGATAGGCTACGGAAACCCGGGTATAATTATCATGACAGAGATATGGCTCACAGCCGATGTCACCGATAACGAAGTTAACTTATCAAACTTCACAGTACACAGGGAGAACCGTCTAGGCCGCAAAGGGAGTGGCCTAGTCATCTACCTCAAGAAATATCTAACCGAGTGTAGCACACACGGAAGTGGAGCGTGCGAACTTCTACTCTGAAGACTTAAATACATGGGCCAAGACACCAACCTGATTGCTATATACCGCAGTCCCGACCGCCATGCAGACGACTTCCTAATAGAGAAGCTGGGATCCCGGGTATCTAAATGTCTCGTAATCGGTAACTTCAAGGCCGAGGTCTTATAACGTCATCTGCAGACAACTCCCTTGACTATAATCTGTTTGAATCCAGTATTTCGCTAGCCCCAGTCCAACATATCACGAATCCCACGCGCCATTACTCACAGTACTCCTCTACAACCAGGAACATGGTGTTCTTCCATGGTGAGTTTGTGGACTTCATACATTTTACACTGTGCTCACTTTCAAGTTCACAGCAGCATTATCATGGGCCGAAACCACAGCGCGACCGACGGCCTTGAAAGCTGATATAAATGCCATCGCCTCATTAGCAAACCAGTGAAGTGATACATATATCCAGAATCCCAGGTAGAAGCCTAACTGAACCAATTTTAGCAACTTGACGCTCAGGTAACTGAACCTTTCATCCCTTGGTCTGTCTCGAAGGGTCGGAAACATTGCCTTCCATGGAAAAACCGAAAGATCCGTAAATCGCTCAGGAGTAAACATAAATGCTAGAACCTATTTATCACACTTGAGACTTCTGAGATCAGAAAGTCAAACAACGTCTCTAGGATTGAAAGTCTTGCAGAAATCTGCCAAATAAGGATGAAGTTCAAAATGCATCCGGCTCAGAATGCATTGAGCCAACCTAAGAAAACTTACTCGTGCATGAACTTCAGGAATAAGACATGCATTGGAGTCCCATACCTGAATGTTGGTGACGTAATCGAAGCGGGTCAAGAAAACGCTGAAGCGATGGCGGACAACTTCTCCATAGTCTTCACACAGGAGTCGCCACACCCCATGGCATCATCTATAGCCTCATCAGAGGAATACAGGGTAGACTCCGTTGGCGTCTACCAAGGCATCGTTATCAGCTCTGTAAAGAAACCGAGTACTGGGAAGTCAATGGGACCTGATGATCTTCATCCAGTGCTTCTCAAGGAGCTATCAGCTCGCAAAACCGACCCACTAACTACGATCTTCAAGCTATCTCTCTTGAATGGAAAGACTCCATAGTAACTCCCACTCGAAAAGGTGGTTCAAGACAATGCGTTTCAAAACATGGGCCTATTAGAGTCACCAACACCTTAATCAAGATAGTAGAGAGAATCACCAAGAAAGCTATCTTTGCATATCTGGAAAACAACAACCTGTTGTTCAGAGCACATCACGGCTACCAAAGAATCCTCTCATGCCTGTCAAACCATTTTTTGCTAAGCTATGTGAAGTCAAAGGACAATGGAAGACCTGTCAACGTCATCTTCATGATCTTCAGCAAAGCCTTCAATAAAGTGCCTTGCAAAAGACTACTCCCAAAACTGGAAATTCTTTGGAATCGAAGGTGGCTTACTAAACCGAATTAGAGAATTATTCATAGGTATGAGACTTAGAGTCAGGATCGAATCAAAATCAAACTAAGGAGAAACTATATTGTAGTGGAGCATTGGTTCTAACACCAAGTCACCAACTCCTAGAACCGACTCTCAGAAAGAGTGGTGCCACAAACTCCAATTGAATCATTCAAGAAGGGGTTTGGAAAAGCACATCGATTTACTATTAAGGGACTAGCGTAGGCTTCAATCCTTCTATCCCTCATCAAAACATCTGAATTGAACATACTTAGTTAGATGTAGGCGGCTTTTACAATTGCTGACGAAATCGATAAATTCAAAATATTCTACATTTTCGGGAATAAATATTTATAGTGAGGAATTTGATTCTGGCTATGAATAATTTCGCTTCTTCTGCGCTTTCGTGTGCTTTAAAAAGTTGGAGGATTCCTGGACGTGTGTCTTTAAGTAGGCTTATTAAATATTATTATCATGAGTAGTTGTTGCTCGCTATGGAAACAATCCAAGAAAAGCAGATGATAGTTTATTACTATGCTGTTCCAAAGCTGATATGCAGCGAGAATGTCACTCAGGGATTCAAGAGTCAGAAGAATGTCGAAGGAGCAGTGAGTAATGTTATAATTTATTCGTGTAACCTCTGAATGTTGTATGCTTATTCCTTTCAGCTAGTAGTTACAAATGTAAGCCTAGTTGTGAAAAGTAGTTTAAGCGTGATATAGTGATAGGAGAATGAGTATCTGCAAAGAATGATATAATCTGCCCCTTATACTTCAAACATTTGTCAACAGTCCATTGGTGTAAATTAAGAAGCTACGAAATTAGCGAAATTGTTGAACACATAACTTAAATAGTGTCTTGAGATGTGTTTATATTTCTAATTCTGTTGTTTGATCTACCCCAAGGTCCCAATCTTCCCAAAAGACCAGGTAGTTTTCCTGTCAAGCTTCCCCCGTATATGCATGTTTTACTAACTCCACTCAGTTTATTATTCACACAGTAATAAAAGGTTCATCTTCCTGGGCTTTGTTGAGCAAATCCAGAACAAAAGACAATTCAGTTTGATTATAACATGTACGTCTAATCGATTGTCAAAGTTAGTGTACTGAGGTGTCTACTATACTTCAACTTTGCCACAATGACTCAACGCGTTTACCAAACTCACTGCCTCGATGTCGTTCTCGAATTATGTCAGATGAATAAGAGTCAGGTGTGGAAATATGTGTGAACCGTGATTTCGCTTATATATATATGTTTTCGCCTTCTAAATTCTTTATTAACTTGACCCTAGTATTGCCGAAGACTGAACAGTGTTACCGTCCAAATTTTCAGTCCACTGACCCTTATTTACCCACGATATACATTTACATACTTTGTAAATAGTGCTAAAAACCACAACCTTTTGTTATCATCTCTCATATATAACTACTCATTGGGCACGTTAACGAAACAGGTAAATTTACGTTCGATTACATATCTGTTTTGGTAGTGTTCAAATATGTTGTGGCAATACTCAAGAAGTATTGCGAGATAATACCAATTGTAAACTGAATTTTAACTAGAGTTATTTGGAGCTAATTGTTATAGTCATATTGCTCCTGATGTTGCTAATATTGTGCGGACTTGTCACTGGATTTTTATTTCCCATCTGTGAACACTCAGTTTCGCTCAAAAATCCCATCTGGTGGTCATGTTCTGTACACTACTTCTGTAGAGAAATAACATTTTCGTGGGGAAATAATTGTTAAGTGAAGTAGTTGACTGGTCTCGCTTCCCACTCCTAGTGGAAAACATTATTTCTATTATGCGAGTTAGTGTTTGATATATAGGCATACGAGACTATTTTATTTGTTTTATTGGTGTTATATATATTGTGAACTAAGAATAAGGTTCATGGAAAGATGATCGGTCTACCTGAAAATTGTTGCAGATATGGTGTGAGGCTATCAAAATAGGCGGTGTTTAATAGAATGATAAACAGACAAATCTAATTACTAGCAAGACCTGGAGAGATCATCCAGATATAAGTAGATAACACGCTTCTCTTAATTCTAGAAAATATTACTTTCCAGTTTATAAAAGAGAAGACATTTCACTCACTGGATTACACGTTCTAAATGCCATATTCACCAGGACTCTGAGTGCCTAGGATTAGAACTTATTTTTGTATATGTATATGGTTTTCAACCAATATACATTATATATATATATATATAGTGCTTTTATATTTCATTGTTTCTTTCGATTTATGTTTTACTTTGATCAGATAAGCCTCAAAATCCAGGTGGACCTATGGAAGGTGAAGGTAGCGGCCTAAATCCTGGGAATTTGGATCATTATAGTACAACTTCTAAAGAACACATTGGTGGGATTGGAGGAGGTGGAGGAGGTTCTGGAAGTGGTCATGGATCTTTCATAAAGTGTAGTAAATGCGGTGGACCTTTAAAAGCTATCGAGCCAACTACCTCATGTAATATTCCTTTCCATATCAGTAGTTTAAAATTATTTGATATTGTAACCATTTTTTCTGATTTATTTAAAAATATATTATTTGACTTATCACGTAAAATCCAAGATCTAAAACAAAGTCTAGGATGGACGGTCAATTTTGATATCCTACCAATAGATATATAGCTGTAGTTGACATTTCTAAAACATATCTCAAACTCTTACCTTTTCAGGTCCTTCTCGTAGATAGGAAATTATAAAGTAGAAAGTTTTTGAAGACAAAACATTTTGTTGATAGTATGATATAACTTGATTCAGCTATTTGGTGGTTTCCATTCAGTAGGTTTCAGGTTTTAATTTCATTATTCCTATCAAGGTTGCCTCCTTCACTTATCTAGAGAGCATCGTTCCAACAACAGGCATTGGGAATAGATGAAGATGTCAAAACCAGTCAGAATCAGAAAGGCAAGATACTCACGCCTTTATCAACCTGAAACCAGTTTGGAAATCTTCTGGTGTCACAGAGCAAAAGGAACAAGATTCGCATTTTCAACACCAATATCAAGTCAGTTCTTCTATACACGTCAGAAACTTGCACTGCGTGTGAGTCACGAAGAGGATTTCCAACAAGATACTACAAACTTGTATCAACAGCTTCCACCTCCGCTGGCCCCATACTGAAGATCAAATAGCCAGACAGAATTAACAACAAGAAACTCTGGCTGAGAACAAACCAACCAAGAGCCGATCGCTCAACAAAGATGTAGGAGAAAATGGAGATTGATGGATCAGGCACATGTTGAGGAAACCATCAAATGATATCGCGAGTAAAACACAGATGGGAAACGACAATTGGGTCGGTGGCGCTAGAGTAACATGGAGGAGATCGTGTGGCGAGGAGGAGATGAGAGATTATGGCGAATCGTGGTACCAGCTGAAGGCGACAGCACCACAAAGAACAAGGTGATTTGTTGTTGAAGTCCTATTTTCCACTCGAAATCCAAGGGAATAATAATAATATCATTAATATTGCCGACCATTATGTATTAAACATTATCTTATATCTGGTAAAGAAACTTGTCTGTTGTTGCCATACTGTGAATGCTACAGTAAGGTAAGATACAACGAAAGCGATTTTATGCGGAATAGGCACTGAGACAATTAGAATTCATCTTTACATTTTGTCTTTAATGTAATATAGAGTGTAATGGTTGAATGTATATACCTGTTCGCGTGTTTGAAAATTTCCATTAATCTTAGTGGATTGATTGATTGTTGACAAACACACAGATACAGAAGGTCAATCGATGTTTTGAAACTTGCCTCATTTTTGGCGCAGGTGTGATATTCAGTACCCATTAAAAGATGTATGTACTCTTTACCAGTTGACATAGTCCTACTTTATGATTGTGTGGGGTATGATCTCTGAAGATTTGCGGTTTCTGGTCATAGTTATCTCTTTTCAATCTCTAATGTTAGGTGGTGAGCCTAGTGTTAGTTAAGGAGGTGAAGTAAGTTGATCAGATTGTAAAGTTTAATCGAATGAAATGCCTAAGATATGTATTGTGCATGTGGAGCCACCGCCTTCACTGGCTAGGAATGTTAACTGAGATAGGATTAGTTTCGAAATGGGTTAAGGCTGGTTAGAATGAAGAATCAATGGCTTGACACTTGGTAACCTGACTTAGAATCGTTTGCTGCTACGCAGATGTACTCACTTATTGTTAAAATCCAGATATTGAAAACCTTCACCAAGCTTCACCTAAATATTTTTCTTCCCGTAAATCGTGGTGCTTTTTAGCCAAGCCATTATTTTCTTTACCTTTCCGGAGTGTAACATTTTGTATTATTGAGGCTGTCTGCAAGCTAGGGCTACCTAGCCTGTCATATGCTCTGGTGGTGTTCTCGTGACTTTTGTTGCCAGATCTTCCAAGGAAGATAGGATAATGCACGATGTATTGGTTGTTTGCAAAGTTTGAAGAAGGTTGTATGATATATGCATGCACCTCGCTGTGATAATGTTTTCTGTAGACATGCTGGTGTCCAACAATTGCCATATTTCTTGGTCTGAAGGCGGCATTTGACTCTGTCGACCGAAAGGTACTCTTGCAATTTCGGTCGTGAAGGGAGTGCGAGGAAGTAAATCACACTAATCATGCAGCCGTGTAAGGGCTTGCGGAGAGTTATCATCTGAAGTGATGACAACCAGTGGTACTAATGGAAATGACCCTAATTGACTTCAACGATTTAGGGATTGACTTGTTGCCAGAGAATAGTTTTGCTGACCTAGAATATGCGGATAATATAGTCCTCCTGGGTGAAGACGATGATGAAATACAGAGTTTTCTGAACACATTTGACAGCAATCTTCGAATGTTTGGCATATGATTTGCTCCCGTCAAATGTAAGATGATTCTACAGGACCTGGATACATCGACTCCTACCCTGAAGATAAGGGAGTGAAGTGGTGGGGCGTGTTGACCAATTCACTTATATGGGAAGTTGCATTAGCCCCAAAGTTGTGATTACTGACGAAATCTGAGGCTCTTTTTGGGATTTTGCCAACTTACGTCATCTCTGGTTTAGGCGTGATATACGGTTATCAACCAAAGGACGTGTGTACTGCTCAGCAGTTCGTTCTGTCCTCCTTAATGACTGTGATACATAGCCATTAATAATGGAAAACATGAAAAGGCTATATGTCTTTGATCATAGATGTCTGCGTTCTGTCCCCCATGTTGGGTGGTACGACAGGGTGAGTAATATTGAGGTAGGAGTTGTGTTAGGTAAGGAAGGTAAGTCAATCGACGAGATTGTGAAGGTGTATCGATTGGGGTGGCTAGGACATTCGTAATGTATGCCTAGCTGTCGCCTTCCTCGACGGGGAGTGTTAGCCGACATAGGATTAGGTTGGAAAGCATATAGTAGTAGTTAAACCAGAACTTAGAATCAGTCCATGGAATCCTTGACGGTTAGTTTGAGCCGCGTAGTGGGGTGTAAGCTTCCCGGCTGAGGTCGTCTGGATTCTAAACACCAATGGCTGCAAACAATTGGTGATATGGTTCGAAATCGTTTTGAATGGTGCAGATGCATTCACTCTTTGTGACACATGCTATATCCAAATGAAACACTATTGTTTTTCTCCCTCACATTTCTGCTTATTGTCGTTCTTTCGAATCTGTTTTCTCCTCTCTCTTTTGTCTTCCTTTTGTGTACTACATGAAGTGTGGCAAGTTGAACTGGTGCACATCTGTGCAAAGTTCCATGTTGAACCAGTCAGTCAGTCAGTCACACTTATTTACTGATTTTTAAATTAGTTATTTAACAGCGTATGAAATTTTCAAGACATTGTGATGTAAGTATCCATTGATGTTTATCAGTAGCCTATTTGTTTGACAAATTTTGACAATCAGTTACTTGTTTATTCTTAATCTAAGGTCCAGGCATTTAGATAAGTATGATTTTATCTTACACAGTGTTGTTTTCACTTAATACCAATAACACCTTAATAAAATAATAGGTTTGTTTTGTATTATTTTTTAAATAAATTTCTAATATTCTACTATTTCATGTACTGCAGTTGATAGATCCACCAGCGATACAATCTGTGGTTTCTCCATTCAGCATATGCATTTTGTGATTGTATTATATTGTTATTATTATTCCCTTGGATTTCGAGTGGAAAATAGGGCTTCAACAACACATCACTTTGTTCTGTCCCCTTCAGCTGGGTCCAATATTGTCCATAATCTCTCATCTCCTCCTCGCCATACGATCTCCTCAATGTCACCCTCGCACCGCCGACTCACTTATCGTTTCCCATCTGGATTCTACTCGCGATGTCATTCGATGGTTTCCTCAACATGTGCCTGATCCATCAATCTCCATTTTCTCCTACATATTTGTTGAGCAATCGATTCTTGGTTGGTTTGTTCCCAGCCAGAGTTTCTTGTTGCTTATTCTTTCTGGCTATTTGATCTTCAGTATGGAGCCAGCGGAGGTGGCAGCTGTTGATAAAAGTCTGTAGTATCTTGTTGGAAATCCTCTTCGTGACTCACACGCAGTGCAAGTTTCTGACGTGTATAGAAGAACTGACTTGATATTGGTGTTGAAAATGCGAATCTTGTTCTTTATGCTGAGTGAGAGCTTTAGATTTCCAAACTGGTTTCAGGTAGATGAAGGTGTATCTTGCCTTTTTAATTCTGACTAGCTGACTTTGACATCTTCATCTGTTCCCAATGCCTGTTGTTGGAACGATGCTTCCCAGATAAGTGAAGGAGGCAACCTCTGTTAAATCTCTCCCGTTGATGGTGATTGGTGCTGGTTGTTGTTGTTGCTATTGATTGGTTATCTTCATCACCTCCGTCTTCTCTATGTTCACCTGCAGTCCTGTTTTTGCTGCCTCTTCATCCATTTTGTTGGTTTTCGCTTGCCAGTAAGTCTTTGTGTTTGTGTGACATTAGACAAATATCGTCTGCGAAATGAAAATCTTCTAGTCTTCTTATCAGTCGTCCAGCACATTCCTGACTCCTCGCCCCCCAACACTCTGACGCATAATCCAATCCACCACAAGTGAGAATATCATCCGTTGTGATAATAGGCAGCCAACTTGTCTTATAATCCTGTATTCACTTCGAGCGCTTCGCTGAATTTTACGTTTTGGATTATCTGACACGTTGCATTGTCATATAGCCAGCTGTTGAATGAAGTCGATAAAGATACTCTTTGAATACCAAGTTGCCTTATATTTGTATTCTCTCAAGATTTTTAAAATGGAAATGTCATCTATAAATAGGTGGGATATAGGAAATCCTCTAGTGTCCTCATTTGTGTAATGTATAGTTTGTGGAAATGTATTTACTTAGGTCAAATGATATCATTTTAAGAATGCTGTGAAACATCTGTTTGAAGTCGAGTTTTGAGATCTGTTGAAATCTCGTACGTAAAGGCTGTTACCGGCAAAGATTGAGAAAGTCTTAGGAACCAGTCATGACTTAACTTTTTTGCTATCGAGCAGGTTATCCAGGAGGGATACCTTACTACTGTCACATTTATTGTGATTGGCGATGCACTTCTGTCTTAGAACCTTCCAGTAGGATGAACTGTTTACATCGTTATGATTGCTTTTTGGTTTTTAGCACTACTCAGCTAATCTTTATAATGTCCTCCAGGTACAATGTTTTGAACATTTTAGTTTATGGAGTCGTCGTTGTATGAAAGTTCTACTACATGAATAAGGGGGGGAATTATTTATTTCGTATTAAAACACAAAATTTGTATATTGTGGGCTCCAAGAGGTGCGCCGCACGAAGTCTTATAGTTTGTGCGAGGGCTGAGATACTGCTTGGACGCTTAGACCTGCCTCAAAGGACTACCCTACCCCGCTACAGAGCCTTTAACATGAAGTCTGATCTACAAGGCAGTGGAGCAGAGTCAGGAGGTATTTTCCCATGGTTTCCAGTAGTCAAAACAGGTCTATACTCCTATTCGATCCTTTCAAGTTATGAAGCCCATGTACACCGTAGATATATGATATCAGGCTTTCTCATTTCCCCTAGGTGGACCTGGTTGTAGGCGCCAGACATTCACCCTTTGATATTGGCGTTGTGTGTCATTCTTGTAGCAAGTGCTAGGTGTTGATTCGATGAGTAAAGATACAGTAATCAAACTCTCTCTCTCTCTCCACCTATCTGTATTACTTTTTAGAACTGTAGTTCTGTTTCACCCTATTGTGTAATTATGTGTTGATGTATATTAGGTAATTACTACCTAGTTTTCATTCAAAAGTATCCAATACAGTCATATAGGAGGGTCAGTCGTGAGCTCAAATAGCTCAGTAGTAATGTCTCTGACCTCAGCACTAGGTGGTGATAGTCTGGGTTGGAATCTCAGAAGGGACATGAGTTCCTACTACAATGGCTGCAGACACACCTTTCTGATGAATGCCAACCAGCATGAAACACAGGTGTGTAGGGCTCTCTGCCGTCTAACATCAACAGTTCAGAGTGCACATACCGTAATGGCGAGCCACCTAAGCATGGTGACCACATTGTCAGTTTGACTGTGGTAGAATTCAGTCTACACCAAATGAAGGATTAGACTCATGGGATTAATTACTACTTAGTGTTCAGTCAAAGTATTAATTATGCTTTTTGTTTATTACATCACTTCATATGTTGGTAGTGTTACTCCGGAGTTGGGCACCATCAATTCGTCGGTGTGTCGGTGGCACAGTGGTTAGGACGCTCGCCGACCATGCACATTGTCCGGGGTTCGATCACCGACCGACGCACTCCTTTACCGCGCTAAGCCAGAAATAATGCTGGTAAAGAGGAAAGGTTGGGCATAAGGCTAGCAACCCCATCCTGTAAAATAAACACTGCTACAGAAACTTCAAGCCACTAGCTTGAAGCCCTATGTTCCACTGGGAACGTGAAGGAAAAAACAATTCCTGCCATTGATATTATGCAAATAATGTTAACTGTGTACCGCTTACCTGTGTAATAAACCTTGAAGGATAAAGTCAGATGAATATAAATGCAATTGTTTTGTTCTTTTTTCTATGTATTATCTATGTCGGTTTTTGTTGTTGTGGTTTTTGTTGTAGATATATCACGTTTCATGAAATGTGAAGCCTGTCAACAACTCTATACACTGATCGATAAATCTGCACTGAAGTCATTTAATAATGTTGAAGAGAATCGACCTCCTCCACTACCTATTCCTAAAGAGGTAAGACACATATATCTGTATCATATATAAAACTATCCTTTTGAATTGAAACAGAATTGAGGGTACATTTCATCGAATACATTGTGCTTTATTATATTGTTACTAATAGAAGACTCGTAGAATAAATAAGAATTAACATTCCCTAAAGTTAGATATTAAGAAGACTAAAGTAATCAAGAAGTTCTGGACACGTGTGGGTCTTATACTTGTTGATACTCAACAGCCAGGTGTATTTATCATTGTCAAGAGGGAGGAGCATAAGTCCCCACACTATCGATTCTTCTAAATACAAGCAATAAGAGGAGAAACTTATTGCATGCTAACTCTGACACTTCTTGGCTGAGTAGAGTTTAATAAAATGACCCCACATATTATAATTTAAACCCTGGAGATTTGACTGACGGACTGGTTTCAACATGGGACTTTGCATCGATGTGCAGCAGTGCGAGTCGCCACACTTCACTTAGCACACAAAGCAAGAGAAGAAGGTAAAAAGAAATGCAAAATAGAGACAGTAAACAGAGATATGAGGCAAAAAGAATAATAATAACGAAGATCAATGTAGTTTTATTGGGTATCATAAGTCACAAGGAGTGGATGCATTCGCGCCATTGAGAACGATTTTGAGCCATATCACAAATTGTCTCGTGCTATTGGTTTTTACCATCCTTAGGACCCCAACCAGGAAGTCTACATCTTCCTACGTGGCTTAGACTAACTGTTGTGGATTTCATTGACTGATGAGGCCATATTTTGGTTTGACCACCACTGGCTCTTTTCCAACTTGACCCTATGTCAGCTAACATTGCCCGTCGAGGGAGACGATGACTAGGTATACGTAACACATGTCCTAACCATCTCAGTCGATGTAACTTCACAGTGCCGTCTATTGATTTCCCCTCCTTACCTAGCACTCGAGATTTGAGTGAATTCACTATCCATTTTTCATTACAAATTTATGCTGTCTTATTCACACTGCCTTCACACGGTGGGGGTGGGTGGGTGAATATTCGTCACAAAATTGAAAAGGCGAATCTGACGCTTAAAACCTGACTGGTAGGCATTGTGGTCTACCTTGGGGAGTTGAAAAACCCTAATTCGACACGTATAGTGTAAATGGCCTCCATAATCTGAAAGAAGTGAATGACGTATGAACATGTTTTAGTTACTGAGATCTCCGGGGATGTTGCTCCCTGATGCTGCTCCACTGCTTTATGGATCAGACTTTTTGTCAAAGACAATCACCTGCTTTAGTCTGGGAGTCCGGCCAGTATCCCAACCCTCACAGAAACTATGGCACATCTCTTGGTGGACGTAATGCATCCATTTTGTGTTATGATAATAATATGCTATTCGATATACAAGTAATTTCGCTAAAAGTTGGATTCTTTCAGTCGATGTTAAGGGTAGGTGCTACTCACTATCCTAAGTTTTTTAAGTATGCGATGAAGAGATTATGGTACCAATTCGTCATTCTTGAACTTAAAGTAGAGGTGGTCAGACCAGAACATGCGACTAGCTCATAAATTCAACGATTACTGATGTAAGCCTAATAGGGAAGTATAAATTGCTTGACTCACTTGTTTAACGACGAATAACAGGTATTATTGATGAAACTGTTCTAAATTGTTCATAATAGTGCGAATGTAATCAATGTAATGTAACGTGATGTACTATGATCTTGTTCACATCAATATTTGTCACTATCAGTATATTTCTCTTCTCTCTCTTATTTTGTGTACCCTTTTTTCGAAATTTGTCAGTTTGAACTAATGTACATCTGTGCAAAGTTTTTTATTGACTTTTCAAATCAACAGAAGGTGAATATAACTTATGGCTCGCTTTTATATCTATATTTGTGAAACTTTTGGCTTATTTTATACCAAAAGAATGGTTACCGAACAAGGAATATTCTTTTCGATAATCCCTTCTTCATCAGGTTCTACAGTTATATATACATACATAACAGTCAGTGAATTAGTGTTATTAACAACACTAATGCTGTTCAAATAACATCGAATCAATAATAATAATAATATCATTGGATTACAATTCGATAGCATCAGTGGCTAGCTGTTGCGCTGTATATCGTGAATTCACAGAAGTTAAAATTCACGGGTCACAGAATTCCGTTCCAAGTGACTGAATAGTCAAAAAGCTTGGTCTCATAACCTAAAGTCCCTGGGTTTGATTGCAAAGGGGGTTGGGGTCCTGGGTGAGTACTGATGAAGAGTCCCAAATAATCCTGCAGTACTCCCTGTTGTTGGTTTTCAATGGTTCTCTGACTTATATCAATCAGTGGGCAAACTTTAAACAAATCGAATCTCTATAAACTAATTGTTGAAAATTATTTATTTATTTTTTGACTTTATCTTTTGTTGTTGTTGTTATTGTTGTCAGATACATTCATATTTAGATCGTCATGTCATAGGTCAAGAAAAAGCTAAACGAATTCTCGCTGTTCAAGTGTATGCCCATTACAATCGTATACAACATAATCGGTCATTGGCGGCAGCAGCATCAGAATCTGGCTCATTGAATTCAGCTTATTCTTCAGGTGCTGGTATTAATTCAGCAATGAATGATGCTAGTAAACATCCTTTCGCTTCAGGATATACACCATCAGCTGGAGGAGGAGCTTCAGCGCCTCCACGTTCTCAAACACCTCCTCCTCCTCCTGGCTACCTACCAAATTCAGGTAATGCTCATGTAAATAATTATCAAGATGGTTCAAATCAACCATCTGTAACAGGTAGGCATAGTTTGTGCGTCTATCTATCTATCTATATTTACGTGTATAATGGGTTCTCAATCATTATTCCACATTATTGATTTTATTCCAAGTGGAATTAGGCTTTCGAGTTTCAGTAGGGCAACAGTAAAGAATCGATATGAGATTCAGACGACCTTGAAACAACCAATTAGACTCTTCTCGATGAAAAGTATCATTTAATTTATAAAAAATATAGTTAGAGAACTGATAAAGTACTTCATCTGGGAGGAAAGCAGTCATATTTAACAGATTCAAACAGCGTTCGTCAATTATTGTTGGAAGGGGAAGAAAGAAGAAAATTACAGTACGTTCGCGATTGATGATTGCGATTCTTGGCCATATCCAATAACGTTTTTAGCCACCGATTCGAGCTATCTGTTGGACTCCAACCACGGAGTCGTGACGCATCAATTGATGCTAACCTAAGACAAATATCCTTCATCCCACGACGCCACTTCATGGACTGACCACATCTCGCCTTTTTCCATCCTGTTCCAGGGTTGGTGAACACAGACCTGTACGGAAACCTCTGGGATGACATTCTAAGCGTATGTTCAGGCCACTGAAGCCGGTGTTTCTAGATGACACTCAACGAATGGTGGTCGCCATTGTGTCTAAACACACGCCTCTGAACCTCAGAATTACTCACGCAATGATGCCATCGAACGCAAACAATCCTATGGAGACAGCGATGATCGAATATGCAGAGTCGCCACACATCCTCATCTGGGAGAGGCCAGGCTTCACAGGCGTAGAGCAAGACAGAATGCACCGAAGCATTGTATACCCGACCTTTGACAGCTAGGCTAACGTCTCAACGGCACCAGAGGTGGCTCAAGTTGACGTATGCCATCCTAACTTTCATGATACGGTTGGAAATCTCATCTGTCACACCTCCGCCAGCACTCACACAACTACTCATATACACGAACTTATCGACAACTTCAAGCGGTCCACCTGCAAGAGTGAGTGCATGTACAGGCTCCTGCCAATCTTGTAACAGTACGTTGCACCTAGATGGTGCAAAACCCATGCCATACTTACAGACACTGATCATGATATATTGCAGCCTGCATGCTATCGCACAGTAAAACAATATCGTCTGCATACTTGAGGTCATAAAGTTTTTCTCCAGGGAGCAGATCTACACCACCTTCAAGCAGGTCCTTCAGACCTGACTCCAGCATGTTATCGATGTCAAAGTTAGGGAGAAATGGGGAGATTGGACAACTCTGTCTAACCCCACTGTTGGTTGGGAACAGTGATGATAGTTGGTTGTATGTCTTCACTCTACCTGAGGTGTTTCTGTATAGAGCTTTCAGGATGTTCACAAACTTCTCAGGTACACCCCTCTGTAACTGACACTTCCAGAGAACAGTTCTATGCAACTAATCGAAGGCAGCCCTAATTGTCAAGAAACACAACGATTGTTGGCCTACAATATGTATGGCGGTATTCTAACAACTGACGAAGGGTGAACACGTGATCAATGCATCCACGGCCTGGACGAAACCCAGCCTACTCTTCGCGAATCAACGCCTCATGTGTTTTGCGCAGCCTGCGAAGCGAGACAGCAGACAATATTTTAGACGCAACTAGTATATATATATATATATATATATATATAATATATAATATATATAATTCTCCGTAGGCATAGATTTTGATCTTAGTACAAGACCTTATATAATACACTTGTCTTTTTGTTTTTTGTTCTTTCAGAGTTATTCAATTTGTTACGTAATAGTTCAGCAATCACAGCAAAAAATGGATCAACAACAATTGGAGATGGTTCAACAGGTTCATTGTCTTTTCCATTCACTGTTGATACTCCAAATGAAGGGCATGAAGAAAGAGAGAAACATCGTCGTGGTTCACGAATTATTACAGATGATTCAGAGCAAACAGTAAAATTAGAAAAAAGTAATATTGTCATGTTAGGACCAACAGGTTCAGGTAAGAATACATTTTTTTGAGTAAAATGATGTAAAATATTGAATTGTGGCAGAAGTTGAAATTCATGGGCGACTGGCCATTGAATCGGTTCTCAGTAGCTCACCTTGTAACTGGAGGGTCCTGGGTTCGAGCCCCAGTGGGTTGGTGGGTATTGCTGAAGTGAAGAGTCCCAAACTAGAACGAAATAACTGTCCAGTACTCTAAGGTTTTCTCAACTCGCAATCAAACCTGTAGCCAATCAAATCTCTTCAAACCGATATTGAATTTATTTGGGTTACTGTTACATTATTGAAGCCAACCAGCTAGAATAACCAATGGTTTTAAGCGAGATGAGTGATATCAGGTTACTACTAGTTTGACTTCCATGGTTTGAACTGATATAAAAGTCAGCTAATACTGTTGCATTTTATTATAAAGTTGCTGGTGATTGGTGCCGTGATATATTGGTTTCTATCTAACTACAAAGGTTTCAGTGTAGTACAGTGGTGAGTTCCTCTGCCTGTTACATGGAAAACTTGGGTTCCGGGTTCGAATCCCAGCCGATGCACTCTTGAACTTCGCCCCGGAAAAGAGAGACGGTTGAGAGTAAGGTTGGCAACCCTACTCTCTTTAAAAACAGCATCATTGTTAGGGAAATTACAAAGCTTTAAGACCTATGTTCTACTTGAAATGCAGAGAAATGAAACAAAGCAACAAACATTTGCTTAACCATTAACTTCTACAAAATATGATTTAGAAGAAACATGATATATCAGATGGTGTACAGCATATATGAGTACGTGTTCTTTACTTAATTTTCGATTAGATTATGTTGTATTTGAACCATTCTTCTCTCTTATCTACATTGTCACTTATGGTTTCATGAAATTTTATTCTCTAAAAGAAATAATTAGTTTAGTATTCAAGTATATTGGTTTGTAGGGATTTGATTGATTGGGGCTGAAGAGTCCCAAACTAGGCTGACGAAACACCTGTCCAGTACTCCCTACAGGTTTTCCAATGGTTCTTTAACCAATGTCAGCTCATGATGAAATTCTGTTACCAATTTGTTGAGTCTCGAAAATTGAAGAGTAGCTTATCAATGAAATAAATACTGTACATGCTAAACGGGTCTACCAGTAGTGATCCAAACATTCATGAGTACCCAAGTTTATGCTTTGTCACTAATGATTACTTCTTATGGTTGGTGTTTCAGTGGTAGAATACTCTCTCGAACTACTCACATGGCCCCTGGGGTTCGATTCCCAGCCGACGCACTCGTAAATCTTGCTTAGCAGATAAGTTGGCCCCGGTAAAAAGGGAAGGTTGTGCGTGTGGGGCTAGCAACCTCATCCTGTGAAAAATAAACACCTTTGCTACTAAAACTTCAAAGTTGAAACATGAAGTCCCCTATGTTCTACTTGGAGTGCAAAGGAATAAAATAAGTAAATATTCCTCATGTTTTACATGTATCAGAGTGTGTACTAAAATCTGTAGTCTTTTATACTGTAATGAGCGCATATGTTTGAAATTCTGAAGGAGTGGGTTAGGAGATGCGAGTTATTCTTTGGCTTGAAAATTCAACGTTCAACTGGTGGGTCTCACGTTAGGATACCCCCCTCCGCTTACGTCAATCTTGACAAGGGGAGGTATGTTCAGGCGTCACAGAAAATAAGATTGGCTGATAGGCCTGGATGGTGGTACATATACGACTTGTTCATCGTAAATAAGAATAATTTTGTCATTTTATTATTTTGCTAAGCTACTTTTATTTTTATTCACCTCAGATTAGTGATTTACTTCTTCCTCCTAACCATGCCCAACTTTGGTACCACCGATATTATTATTATTATTCCCCTGAGGTTCCGAATGGAACAATAGGGCTTCAGCAACAACGCATCGTGATTTCACATTGTTCTTTGCCTTCTTTCCTAGTTAGATGTACGATTCCCCATAATCTTTCATTCCCTTCTTACACGAACTCCATGCGCAAGTCCTCTTTTTTCTTAATTTGGTTCTACTCGAGGACCTAGTTTACTACCTGGTCCTAAGTCCAGAAAAGTGGAGAGGTTGGGCATGGGACTGGCGGCGACTCATCCTTAGTGAATCAATCCAATGGCTACAGAAACTTCAAAGCAAAAGAAGAAAAAAAATATATGAAAAATGGCTTAGATATACATTGATAATTGTTGGTATTAGATGGTTGGAGGCAATCGGCAGGAAGCCTTGGACCTACGTTTTGTGCTAGTTGGCACTCGTCAGCAAGGCGTATCTGCAATCTTGTAGGAACTCATGTTCCTTCTGAGATTCGAACCCAATGCTGTAGTCAGAGACGTTACCACTGAGCTCTTGGTTGGTTTGTCCCCAGTCAGAGTTTCTTGTTGCTTATTCTTTCTGGCCATTTGATCTTCAGTAAGGAGCCAGCAAAGGCGGTAGCTGTTGATAAAAGTCTGTAGTATCCTGTTAGAAAATCCTGTTCATGACACAGAGTGCAAGTATAGAAGAACCGACTTGACATTGGTGTTGAAAATGCGAATCTTGTTCCTTCTGCTCAGTGAGAGCAGAAGATTTCCAAACTGGTTTCAGGTTGATGAAGGCGTGCGTATCTTACCTTTCCGATCCTGCCTTTGACATCTTCGTCCGTTCCGCCTGTAGCTGAAACGATGCTTCCCGGTGGATAATTGTAGGAGGTGACCTGTGTTAAATCTCTCCCGTTGATGGTGATTGGTGCTGGTTGTTGTTGTTGTTGTTGCTGCTGCTGTTCGTTGGTTATCTTCATCACCTCCGTCTTCTTTCTGTTCATCTGGAGTCCTGTTTTTGTTGCCTCTTCATCCAGTTTGTTGGTTTTCGCCTAAGAGTTTTCGAGATTGTGTGACATGAGACATATATAATCTGCGAAATCCAGATCTTCTAGAGTCTTCTTATTGGTGGTCCAACGTATTCCTGTCTTTTCACTCCCTGTGCACAGTCTGTCGCATAATCCAATTCACCACAATTAAGAATATCATCTGTGGTAATAACAGGCAGCCAACTTATCTTCATCCTGTATCCACTTCGAGAGCTTCGCTGAATTTTACGTTTTGGATCATCTGACACGTTGCATTGTCATATAGCCAGCTGTTGAATGAAGTTGTCAAAGACTTGAGGTACGCCGTAGTGTTGAAGTAGTTTCCAAATTACTTCTCGGTCAACGCTGCGCTGTCGAAGGCCTTTTCGAAGTTGAGGTAGAGCTTTAACTGCCATTCTATACTTTGTTCTGTTGATGATGCGTACAATTGCAATTTGATCAGCACGTGATTTGCCTTTCCTGAATCCAGCTTGTTCCGGCTGGCAGAGTTCTGTATTTAGTGCATCCTTTATTCTCTCCAGGATGATGCGACTTAGTATTTTACTTGGTGTAGACAAGAGCATTATTCCATTATTAGTATTCCGTTACAATAATAATACATTATATAATATTATTATTATTACTATTATTTTATTTCTTTAATTTAGGAAAAACATTATTAGCACAAACATTAGCTCAATGTTTAGATGTTCCATTTGCTATATGTGATTGTACAACATTAACACAAGCCGGTTATGTTGGTGAAGATATTGAATCAGTAATTGCAAAATTATTACAAGATGCAAATTTCAATGTAGAACGTGCTCAACAAGGTATTGTATTTTTAGATGAAGTTGATAAAATCAGTACTAAAGCTGGATATTTTCATTCAATACGTGATGTTGGCGGTGAAGGTGTTCAACAGGTAAATGTGTTATAATGAATACTTTACTCTCTTTTTTCTGTGTTAAATATTTGAATATTTATATTTTCTTTATTTTCAAACATAGATTCTAACATAATTGTATATATTAAACTTTTTTGAATTAGTTGTGTTCTCTGAGGAGCTGGTTGATTGATTTAATTGCGAAGCATTCGTCGTCCCCCTTCTAGGTAACATCTTCAGCTCAGGTCTTAGTATATAGTGAAGTCATTTAAGTTCTCCATGAATGATGTAATTATATCTCCTGGGGACCACTGTAGTGACTAATGGTTAATCTACCTCTCCATTGATCATTTTTATTGACTTGGAATTCGAAATTTCTTGCCATGTGATCTACTCTTTATTAGCTGGTGGTAAATTTGGTCTATATTAATGTGTCTGAGCCTCTTTGAGCCTTCCCGCCATCTAGCACACACCCGAATGGGATATAGACACTGGCCCGCCGTCTGTAAATGAGGTCACAAAAGCTATCTGTAATCTGAAACGAGGCAAAGCGGCAGGACCCGACGGAATTATTCTGGTGTTTAAATATGGGGGTGACATACTAGTATATAGATTAACTAAGGTACTAGGTAACGTCTGGGAATCAGAGACGGTTCCATCAGACTGGGGTAAGTCACTTATTATACCAATATTCAAGAAGGGAGACAAGTCCTCATGTGATAATCATAGGGGAATCAGCCTGCCGAACATAGTCTCTAAAATCCTAGGCTCAGTAATCATGCACAGACTAAGCAGAACTCGGGAGGGACAAACGAGGGAAAATCAAGCAGGCTTTAGGCCAGGCAGAGGGTGCATAGATCATATCTTCACTCTCCAACAGATCCTAGAACGAAGACACACTTTTTGGCGTCCAACAATTGCCATATTTCTTGACTTGAAGGCGGCCTTCGACTCCGTGGATCGAAAGGTACTATGGCAATGTTTGACTGTGTAAGGAGTGCCAAGAAAGTACATTGCACTAACCAAGGCACTCTACTCAAACTCAGGTAGCCGTGTAAGGGCTTATGGAGAATTGTCATCTGAATTGATAACAACCAGTGGTGGCCGTCAAGGATGTCCACTTTCCTCATTTCTGTTTAACTTCATCATAGATATGCTGATGGAAGTATCCTTAACTGAAGTTAACGACTTAGGAATCGACTTGTTACCAGGGAATAGTCTTATGGACTTAGAATATGCAGATGACATAGTCCTGTTAGGGGAGGATGCTGACAAAATGCAGAGTCTTCTGAGCACCTTGAGCAGCAATCTTCGTATGTTTGGCATGCGATTCGCCCCTGTAAAATGTAAGATGCTGCTACAGGACTGGACTACGTCAACTCCTAGCTTAGTGATAGGGAGTGAAATGATAGAACATGTTGACCACTTCACCTGTTTGGGAAGTTGTATCAGCACCAACGGATTGATTGGTGACGAAATCTCAGCACGGATCCAAAAAGCTCTGGCTGCTTTCGCTAACTTACGCCATCTCTGGCGTGGGCGTGACATCCAGCTATCAACCAAGGGACATGTGTACTGCTCAGCAGTTCGCTCCGTCCTTCTCTATGGCGGTGAGACGTGGCCATTGAGAGCGGAAGACATGAAGAGATTGTCTGTTTTTGATCATAGATGTTTACGATCTCTTTCTCACGGTAGGTGGTATAATAAGGTAAGTAATGCTGACGTTAGGCGTAGAGTGTTGGGCAAAGAGGGAAAATCAATCGACGAGGCTATGAAGTTATATAGATTGAGATGGTTAGGTCACGTGCTGCGCATGCCTAACCATCGCCTCCCCCCCCGGGCATTACTAGCTGATATAGGTGCAAGTTGGAAAAGAGTAAGTGGTGGCCAAACAAAAACATGGCATCAATCCATGAAATCCTTGACAGTTAAACTGAGTCAGGTAGGGAGATGCAGACTTCCGGGTTGGGGCCGCTCTCGGGACTCTAAGAATCAATGGGTGGAGACACTAGGTGACATGGCTCAAAATCGTTGTCAATGGCTTACGCAGATGTATTCAGTCTCTTTAACCTTTCATATTCCTTTCTACCATTACTCATTCTGTTTCACTCGTATACTTGTCAAAACTCTATTGATTCTCTTCACTCATTTTCTTGTCTACTTTTGTGTGCTTTTTGTAATGTGGCAACTCGAACTGCTGCACTTCGGTGCCAAGTTCTATGTTGAATCCAGACAGACAGCCATCTTCAGCTCAGGTCTTAGTATAGTGAACTCATTTAAATTCTCCATGAATGATGTAATTATATCTCCTGGCAACCACTGTAGTGACTAATTGTTAATCTACCTCTCTATTGATCATTTTTATTGACTTGGAATTCGAAATTTCTTGTCAAGTGATCTACTCTTTATTAGCTGGTGGTAAATTTGGTCTATATTAATGTATCTGTTAATTACTGGCTAATTCATTTGAGTACAAAACCAGGCTTCTAGAAATTCTCTGACTGCATTTTTCATGTTTCCTCTGTTTTAAATTTCTACACTATCCCAATCATCAAATTGGTGTCCGTAATTATCTACATGCATTGATATGAAAGACTATATATACGATGTCTTGTTACAGACAATTTGTGTTCTTCGATTCGAATTCGAAGAAGGCATCCACTTTCACCGATTCGGTGTTGATTGCAGTTCATACAATTCATTTTTTAAATAGTATTAATTTGGTCTTCTTCTTCAATTGGATCTTTCAGTGTGCATAATATCGAATGAAGTGATTGTGCTGGCTGGCTGGCTGACTGGCTTGTGTGCTATATCTATTTCAAACGGTCTTAATATTCTAGCTGTTATTTCAGAGATATTTTTTCTCATATATGGTAGAATGAATTTTCTTGTGGTCTTTGATGTTGGCTTGTTGTTGGTGTTGGTGTTATGACTCGAGTTTAAACACTTTTTGATGAAGTTGTGAGGGGGATATGCATTCTTTTTGAAGACGGTTAGTAGGTGGTATGTTTCCTCCATTCTCTTCAACACAGGAGTGCTGTAGTGTGTGTTTGAACTCTTTTAAACAATGTTTACACACAGTTTTTTGTGGGTAATTGGGTTGGGTTATTACTATTATAACGATGTTATTGTTAATTGCTGGCTGATTCATTTGAGTGCCAGGCTTGTAGGGATTCCCTGACTGCATTTTTAGTGTTTCCTCTATTTAAAATTTCTACATTATCCCAAACTACTTTGTAACTGCTGGGTGCCGCTGACAACTATACATTTCATCCAACAGTTGTACGACAATGATGCATGCCAAGTAATCCGCAACGGGAAACTTACGGAATCCTTCGAAGTGAAGACGGGATTAAGACAAGCTGGCTGGCTGACTACTATCTCCGATGATTTTCCTGATTGCGGTAGACTGGACAATGTGATAGACAGCGGGCAGTGAGGAAACAGGCATAAAATGGACTCACACAGAAAACTTGGAGGATCTGGACTTTGCCGATGATATATGTTTGATTTCCCACAAACTGGAAGATATGCACGTGAAAAGCAACAAGTTTTCAGAAGAAGCATCAAAGATAGCAAGGGCTTCAGGTGAACATAGACAAAACAGAGGTAATGAAGATTCCTGGACAAGAACAACAACAACAGACAACGATCAGCACAAATGGGAGGAACCTAAAAGAAACAACCTCTTTTATCTACCTGGGAAGCATCGTTTCAACTACAGGCGGACGGAACTGACGAGGATATCAAAGCAAGGATTGGGAAAGCAAGGCAAGCTTTCATTAATCTCAAGCCTGTGCGGAGGTCAACAGCATTCAGCGTCAAAAATAAGATCCGGATTTTCAACTCCAATGTGAAGTCAGTGCTACTATACGGATCAGAGACTTGCACTGCGCGTCATAAAGAGCACCTCAAACAAACTACAGACCTTCATTAACAGCTGTCTTCGCCCAATACAGCTGAAGATCAGATGGCCAAAAAAGATCAGCAACAGGGATCTCTGACAATGGACGAACCAACCAACCAGGAAGCGATTGTGCAATATATAAGTAGGAAGAAATGGAGATGGATCGGCCATACTCTGAGGAAACCATCAAGTGACATCACTAGACAAGCCATTGCTCGAGTGGAACCCGAAAGGGAAGCGGCGAGTTGGTCGTCAGTGCTAGGGTGACTTGGAGGGGGTCATGTGAAGAGGAGATGAAAACGTGTGGACAGACTTGGAGCCAGGTGAAGACTCTAGCAGAGAACCGAACGCAATGGAGACGCACGGCTGAACCCCTATGTTCCTCTAGGAATTAAAGGATACAATAACAATAATAATAATAATCATAATAATAATCCCAATCATCAAATTGATGTCCACAATTATCCACCTTTCTGTCATTCTTCATCTGATTACCATTTAAAAGTTAAAAGGCAAGCAAGTCAGCGGGGGGTGGGTTGGTTGGGAGGGAGGAGAGTTGGTTTTCAGGGATTTGATGGATTTCAAGTTTTGATCCTATAGTGATTTCAGTTAGGGAACCATTGAAAACCACCAGAGAGAGAGGAGTACTGAACAGACATTTCTTCCTTGTTTTAAGATTCGTCTTCATTACGCGCTCATGAACCACCCCACCACCAGGGATCGAACTTGGGGGTCTTTGAGTTATAAGATGACCTCGTTGGCTAGAACTGTGAATCTAATAGCTGAAGAATTCTAACTTCTGTCAATTCGCGATATATAGAACATCATCGCCTAGCCCTTGTCATCGCTGAGCAATTGTCAGTTCTGTCTGTCTGGATTCAACATAGAAATTGCCACCGAAGTGCAGCAGTTCAAGTTGCCACGTTCCAAATACCACACAAAGGTAGACAAGAAGATGAGTGAAGAGAATCAATAGAGTTTTGACATGTATAAGAGTGAAACAGAATGAGTAATGGTGGAAAGGAATATGAAAGATTACAGAGACTGAATACATCTGCCCCATTGACAACAATTTTGAGCCATGTCGCCTATTGTCTCCAGCAATTGATTCTTAGAGTCCCGAGGGCCCCAACCCGGAAGTCTGCATCTCCCTACCTGACTCAGTTTAACTGTCAAGGATTTCATGGATTGATGAGGCCATGTTTTTGTTTGGCCACCACTTACTCTTCTCCAACCTGCATCTATATCAGCTAGTAATGACCGTCGTGGGAGGCGATGGTTAGGCATGCGCAGCACGTGACCTAGCCATCTCAATCTATGTAACTTTATAGCCTCTTCAATTGATTTTCCCTCTTTGCCCAACACTCTACGCCTAACGTCAACATTACTTACCTAATTATGCCACCTAACGTGAGAAAGAGAACGCAGACACATATGATCAAAAACAGTCAACCTTTTCATTTCTTCAACTCGTATTGACCATGTTTCAGAGTCATAGAGAAGGACGGAGCGCACTGCTGAACAGTACACACGTTCCTTGGTTGATAGCCGGATGTCATGCCTACGCCAGAGACGGTGTAAGTTAGCGAGAGTAGCTCGAACTTTTTGGATCCGTGCTGAACATGTCAGTTAGATGAATCGTCATCAAATATGAAGAAGTCAGTTTGATTTCAAATATCACTGCTAATTATTTTGATTAGATATTTTATTTTTTCAAAGCATGGAAGAGATGCTCACCTAAAGACGCTGCCGCATAATTTATGTTTCATGATGTGTGTGTGTAATGAAAGACAACGTTAATTTATCTTAGTATCCATCTAAAGCCTTTATAGCTTTGTGTTATCCGCCTGACCAGAATGTAATCCCTGCGAAAATTTCTATACGGTAATATAATCCTAGCGTTGTAGCCTGTGATAGTGAGTTGTATCCATAATGAAATGTCTATCAGCTGGATACTATATCTATTTTGTATGATCATAGTCGAATTAGGACAGTACACGCTGTCTGTTTGTTTGTTTTATTTTAAAATAAAAAAAGTTGATTATTTATTTTCTCTTTTTTTATAAAAGGGTATGCTAAAATTATTAGAAGGTTCAATTGTCAATGTACCAGATGGTAAAAGTTCACGTAAATTACGCGGGGAAACAGTTCAAGTGGATACTACAAATATTCTGTTTATTGCTTCTGGTGCATTTAATGGATTAGATAAAATCATTGGTCGACGAAAACATAAAAAGGTTGGTTAGTTAATTAATAACTTTCACATTTTTTAAAATATCAGCGCTACTTTTCAATTTATTATCTACTTATTTTACTGATGTGGACTTGTGCGAGTTTCATCCATGTGTTTAGGACTCGTCAACTGGATGTTTCTACTCTTCAGTAAATGAGTGATGATGTTCTCAACTGAAATTGCAACTCTCCACCTATTATTTCAAACTCCAAAGCGTTATTCATTAGATCATTGGAAACATGATGAGTCCTGGATGGGACGAAGCACGCACCCGTGGTTCTACTCCTAGCCACCTGACTGACTGACTGGTTTCAACGTAGAACTTTGTGCCGATGTGCAGGAGTTCGATTCGCCATACTTTGCTTAGCACACACAGCAAGAGAAGAAAGTGAAAAGAAATGCAAAACAGAGGCAGTAAACAGAGACATGAGGCAAAAAGAAAAGTAAAATGGGAGAACAATATAGTTTTGTTGGGTATTATAAATCACAAGGAGTGGATGTATCTACACCACGCATTGAGAACGATTTTGAGTCATATTACCAATTATCTTCAGCCTTCATTGGTTTTCACCATCCCTAGGACCCCAACCAGGAAGTGTACACCTTTCTACGTGGCTGGCTGTTGTGGATTTCATTGACCGATGAAACCATGTTTTGGTTTGACCACCACCGAGGTAGGGTAACTTCATGTTACTAATCCAGTTATTATCGAAGCGTCTTTTGATGAAATGGGGGGGGGCAATATACCAATAGGAAGCTGATCGATCCGGTTCAGATCTATGTGAAGGAGTAATCAGAATAATTAATATTATTCATCTGTGTGTGATTCGTATGTAGTCTTTGCATTTTGTTTAACATTACTGTAGGCTAGTGATTTATGCAAGCAGTGATACATTCCTATTATACACATCCTTATGGCTTTAGATGTTTTCTCGTTGGTGTTCACATGAAGCGAAGCTAATATGTTAAAATACTCTACATAGACCCTTGATAACCTCTTGGCATAAAGTGAATTCACAATTTGCAAATTGCACAGTTCATGGTGAGAACTCACTCAAGGTTATCTCTCAAAATCAAAATCATTCAGATCACAAACCATATGTGTGTGATCTACTTGATGCTATCAATAATGATAATCGATAAAACAAGCGATATAGCACGATGGTATATACTACTGATTCCTTAATTGATTGATTGTTATGAGTAGTTAGTTGAGAACCACTTCGATCCAGCCAGCATGTACTACTGCTAGAAATGAGTGATTTCCAACTGTTATTATTATTATTATTTTCTTGGGTTCTGTGTAGAACGTAGGTCTTCAACTGCATATCTCTATTTCGTCCTGTTGTCTGTAGTTCTCTTTAGCTGTCTCCACGGTGGCCCCATTGGGCTCTCATCTCCTTCTGACACTATATCCTTCATGTCTCTGTGGGATCAATTTCGGAAGTGTATGGGTGGTTTTTATTTCCCGGCTGCCCACACCGTGGAAGTTGATGGATTCTTCGCGTACCTGAAACAGAGCGAGGGTTAGTGTTCCGTGACCGCAGAGCCCAGGGGACGACTGCTTGAGGCCGGTCACACATGGCTGGTTTCTTGGTTTGGTTCCGTATTAGTAAACTTACCGCTGGTTACGGACCACCGTAGGGTAAGTCAGTATGTACAATTTTCAGGATCGACCTTTTCTAACCCCCTCTCTTCAGAGTGGAGAGACAGCATAGCTGGCTAGCATGCTGGTCGTCTGAGGGAAACACCTCACTGCTGTTACACCCCTGTTCCCCAGTAGTACGACTTCGCCCACAGACCCCCAGCATAGTGCAAGAAAGATTCTTACACTGTGAAGGTAACTGCATTTAGTCTAATCGCTATCCTAACAACCTTCCGTGTATGGTAGGACCTGCAGGAACATTGGTTCCAGCCAGTGTAGCTTGTTGGGTCATCGCGATGTGCAAGCCCTACCACCACGTCAAGGTAGCAGCTGCACATCGGTGCAAAGTTCTATGTCGAGTACAGACAGACACACTGTTAGATCAATGGCCGACTCATCGTTTCCCATTCGGGTTCCACTTGACGACATAGAGCACAATGTTACTCAAAGTTATCCTCAACGTATATGTCTGATTCATCTTGGTTGGTTTACTCCCAGTTCTTTCTGGCTGTTTGATCTTCAATATGGAGAGGAGGCAGCTGTTGGCAAAAGTCTACAACCTGTTGGAAATGTGACACGTCAAGTTTCTGACGCATTTGACATTGGTGTTGAAAATCTGTATTTTATTCTTTATGCTGATTGCAGAAGGTTTTTAAAGTGACTTCAGAGTGATGAAGGTCTGTTTTACCTTTCCTATCCTTGTTTTGACACCCTCATATGTTCCGCCTGTATTTGAAACGATGATTCCTAGATAAGTGAAGCAAGTGACCTCTTTCAAATTTATTCCGTTGATAGTGATTGGTGCTTGTTATTGTCTGTTTCTCTACTTACCTCTTCCCCAAACTTGTTAGTTTTCCCCCTTGTAAGTCTTCGAGTTTATTTGACAATCATAAATCATCCGCGAAATCCAGATCTTCTAGAGTCCTCTTGTTGGTCCGACATATTCATGTCTCCTCTCTCTCCCCTCCGTCACGGAGTGCCGAATACTCCAGTCCACCACAATTAGGAGTGTGCCATCGTGGGTGATAGTAGTTAGCCTTGTCTTACTCACGTCTTCGCTTCTTCAAAGGTTTCTCTGAGTTTTCCATTTTGGATCACTTTCCAACTACTCATATAGACTAGTCAGTAGTATATACCATCACTAATTTAATACTACCACCTATCATAACATGTATGAAAGTGCAGTTGTAAAAAATACTTTGTCATGAACGATAAAATGGTGAATATTTGTGCATTAGTGTCCACTTGAAGCCTTCACGACTATTGATCACAACTTGATATCATTATTGTTAAATTAAGAAATGTATGAATACTTCTTTTTTCTTTTTGGTTACACCTATTTTTTATCTATTCACATAAGAGTAATCAGGGTGTGCGTGTGTGTGTGTGTGGAGAGAGAGAGGGAGCAGTGTTCACCGATTTAAAATAAGGCCTGTCAATTGGTAGTAGTTGGCGAATGTGAACTTATATACATAGTTTTTTTTCATTCGATTGTAAATCAATACTTCAGTTTATTTTTAATTTTTATTAATGTATAATAAAAAGTATTCAGATTTTGATTAATTCTATCGTAGAATTCTTTCATGTATCATTATTATTATTGTTCCCTTGGGTTCCTAGTGGAACATAGGGCTTCAGCTGCACGTCTCCACTTGTTTCTGTCTCCTGCTGTACTTTTCACCTGCACCCATCTTAGTCCATACTGTTTCAACTCCACTTCACACGATCTCCTCTATGTCACCCTTGGACGTCCCACTCGCCGCTTCCCTTTCGGGTTCCACTCGAGCACTGGCCTGACGCGCGATGTCACCCAGTGGCCTCCTCAGCGAGTGTCCTATCCATCTCCACTTTCTCCTGAATATTTGTTGAGCGATTGGTTCTTGTTTTGTTTGTTCCCATAGTTTCTTGTTGGTTCTTGTTCTTTCCGGCCATCTGATCTTCAGTGTAGAACGAAGACAGTTGTTGATAAAGGTCTGCAACCTGTTGGAAATAAATATTCTTTGTGACCCGCCAAGTTTCTGATCCGTATAGAAGAACTGACTGATTTGACGTTTGTATTGAAAATCCGAATTTTGTTGTTGATGTTGAGTGACGAAGATTTCCAGATTGGTTTCAGGTTGATGAATGTGTTTCTCGCCTTCCCGATTCTCGATTTGACATCCTCGTCCGTTCCTCCTGTAGTTGAGACAATGCTCTCTAGATAAGTGAAGTGAATGAAGTAACCTGTTTCAAATCCCTCCCGTTGATGGTGATTGGCACTGGATGTTGTTGCTGTTGTTGGTTGGTTATTTTCATGACCTCCGTCTTGTCTATGTTCACCTGGAGTCCTGTCTTTGCTGCTTCTTCGACCAGTTTGTCGGTTTTTGCTTGTAAGTCTTCGATTTTGTGTGACATCAAACATAAGTCATCCGCGAAATCCAGGTCTTCTAGGTTCTTCACGTCGGTCCAGGATATCCCTGTCTTCTCGTTTCCCACTGTCTGACGCATAATCCAGTCCACCACAATTAGGAATATCATTGGTGATAATAAGCACCCTTGTCTGACTCCTGTGTTTACTCCAAACACCTCAGTGAGTTTTCCGTTGTGGATCACTTGACATGTGCCGTTGTCGTACAGCTGTTGAATAAGGTTGCTACAGAAACTTCAACGCATAAATATATTCAAAGTATTCTTTCATGAATTGATATAATTTAGAAAATGATTGAAAGCCATGTAGTGTGTGGCTATTTGTTGCGTTCAGGTTTTCCGAGGGGGCTCTGCAGTAATGTTTCTTTATGCACACTCCGTTCGGTGTAAAGGTATATCGCCAATATGCCTTTTTGTTTACCAAACGAAAAATTTGAGCGAACAGTTCCTACTCAATAACTACTTATTCTTTAGGCTTTAGTAGTATTGAGGTTAGAAGTAAAGTTTTAGGTACTGAGGGGAAGTCAATCGATCAGGTTGTGAAGAAGCTACATCGGATAAGGTGGCTGGGACCACGAGCTATACTTCCCGAAACCAACACTTTCCTCGTCGACCAGAGACAACTGACAAAGGATTTCATATATTTATTCCCCTTAATGAGTTTGAATAAAGCAAAAACTACAGTGGTTTGCTCAGAATAAAATGGTACCATCATTTTTTTCGTCGGTTTCTCATCAGCTGCGCACATCCCAAGGACATTATTAAGTATATCTACAGAAACAATTTTAATATACTTGCACAGAGTTCATTTTTAAACAAAAAATCAATTGATTAATATATGCATACAATGCTAATAATAATAATAATAAACACTCTATCCGAAATAATAATACTTACTTACTTTACTTCGGCTATCTCCTACGGGAGGATGAGCCGGCTTCATGAACATCTCG